CGTCAAGCGCGTGAAGTTCCACAAGTGGATACAAATTTTCTTAAGACATTATTGGTCGGACGGGGACGTTTCCCTTTTTGAGCCTCTCAAGCGCCGTAGTCGTCCAGCGCCTGACCCCAGACAGATCACGATTTGTCGCGTGGGAGTTGGTTTTCGAAGGTGGGCTCAGTGTGAGATGAAACAATGAGTCAGTTAATATGGAAGTAAGCAAACATTCTTGCCTCACATGGTTGCAACTGTCGACAAAATAAGGATCATCTTTTTTATGAAACATCATTGCCGATATCCAATGCAGCAATAAGATTATGCCAAAGACAGCGAGAGCAGGTACTTACAATACGTACGGCATTGCACATGCAGAAAGGATATCACCATCGACCCCGTATTTCTAAGCATTACATGATATGAATTCATACATTCCCACTGTAATTCTGGTTACACACATATCTCGTTAAATACTTCGTTCACAACTAGGCGAGACATTGCGGAGACTAGAAAACATGAAAAGAGACACAAGTGTACGGTATGCTGTTATCTTACCGAGACATGCATCAGAGGAAACCTGCCTCCGCCTGAAGTGGCGGAAACATCAAATTAAATGGCAGCACCTGTCGCCACCCTGCTACCTACTGGTCACGCATCTGCTAAATACCGACGATAACATGATGCTCTGACATTTGTCTCGGTGTTGGTGTATGCAATCGGCTGTTTGTCGCCTAACGCCTACACTATTGCATCTCCCGTCTTAAGAGCATTTGTAGCATGCCCCACATATTGAGCTTGCCGTAATCACACTGTGCGCTTCTACATCCATTATCGAAGACTTGACGAAACGACGAAAGGAGCTGAACATATTGAATATGAAGATGCTTTAGCTGTTTGGACAGGGAAAGTTTCGCGCGCATCGGAACCTTCGGTCCCACCCCATGGACAGATCACAACTTCTTGCGAGGGACTCAGTCATTTTGGACGGGGTCTGCGTGAGGTGAAGCTAGGAGCAGCTTAATATGGAAGCAAACATGCATTGTTCTTTCTTGTTTTCCCCGCTATGGCTTTAGTTATTAACAAAATGAGAAATATCGTTTCATCAAAAATCTGGCTTCGGAGCGACGGAAATTTGTGATGAGCACTCCATGGCGATCTATGGCTGATTCGGGCGGCGGGTGGCAAGAGAATTGCACTGTAAAATGTACTCGGAATTGAACAAGACACACGCCAGTTTAAGTTTCGTGTCACCGCAGGGCATGGTCTCCTAAGCAAAAAGTAAAGCTACAAAGTGCGGTTTTCTGGAAATTCGACCTCTGGCCTGTCAACAACGTAAAAAATAGTACCAATCGTGAGATCGTGGTCAGAATAATATACTGGTGTTCTCAGTAAGCTATAGCTTTATAAGCTTCAAAACGCCAGGGGAGGGTTACATCAACCTCCTCTCCTATCAGTCCGAGTTATGCAAAACGGCGAATCATGGCGATGGCTAAGACATGCAGCGAGCGTGGGTGCTTAAACATTCGTACAAAGCACATGCAGAAGGGATATTACTATCAACCACATATTTCCTGGGCGTAGCATTACATGATCTGTAATCTGATGTGATCATTACAATCCTCACTTGCACTCCGATCTGTGGGTGTCAAAGCTCTCCCGTTATATCATTCCGGTCATAGTTGGGCCAGATATTCCGGGGGCTAAAAATATTTACAAGAAACAGAAAATTGCACGATATGCAGTCAGCTTAACCGAAGCACCCATCTAAATATTTTGCCGCCGTCAATCACGAAAACATATAGGATGCAGGTGAGCATTTGGCGCGGCAGTGTTTTTGAGGCATAATTATTTTTGAAGGTGCATTCGTATTGCCCTGCCATGAAACTAGCGTTAGTGAATGGGGACACGCACTGAAGCTCATTTTCGATAACAAATCCGATCAACTTAACCTACGATGGCTGTTTGTCTTCGTCGACTCCGGACCTTTACTGGGTGCAAAATCTGATGCATTCCGTAACCGCATGCCCATTGATTAGCAAAGGCACTTATGTATATATATATATATATATATATATATATATATATATATATATATATTAATAAACATGCGCAAAGCAGATTGTTCTTTATACACGTTTTGTTAACATCACAGCAGCCTTGGCAGTGATGACCTTTTCGGATGCTTTCTGGATAAATCTGATGACAGGCCTTCGCTTCTTCTCGCTGGTCGTTGACGATATCACCACAACTCACGATACAAAGAAGGCTTAGATTGTCATATGGCACGGCCTGGTATTATTTACATTTCTCAACGTTCCATCCTTCATTGGACATTTTCTGGACTGACAATTTTGAACAAAGTAGATATCGTAGTACGTTTTTAAAACAAACCCCAGCATTACTGCATTCTGGGTAACCGATGCGTGGACGTTATCATCGGAATCTAAGTCATATGGCACCAGCGCTATGGCAGAGTGAAGACGCTGTTCTTTGCGGGCTAGTTTGAACATGGATATTTCCATACGCCAAATTGTTCGACCTAGCATATTCAATGAAAAAATTTCAGCTGGGAAATGGCGTTGGTTTGCACCAGAGCCACAAACCTATTGCCGAAATGCGCTTCCAGCTTTCTCCCAACAGACAGATGGGGTGACCCATTCACCAGTGATTTATCCCGAAGAATTTAACTGGAAGTGCTTAGACAGCCTGTGTAAAGGAGCACAACAGCAACATGCAACAACAACAACGTAGGATGGAAATGAGAAACGGCGGGCCAGACGGGCTCTCAGCACCCTGGGACACGCATTGAGAAGTTGGAAGGCACATCATGTAGCCTTAGGGGGATGGCCTGCCCTTTTGGGGGTAGTGGGTAGTGAGCCCCGGGGCTTAAATATAGCACGTGTCATTTCAGTTCAAGATAGCGGAGCTTTCCTGTGAAATGGGCCGATTTCTGCATGTTTTGTCGTTTCTGCGAGCCAAAAAGTCGAAGCCCATATCTCAGCTCCGAAATAGCCTATCTCCGAAACAGAACTATTTTTAGACGCTGGGGGTATTATTCTCGGTTTATTTTTTTATCTAACCCATCCAACATTATAGATCCGCATTCAAACCAACAGCTAGGAATATAATAGCACAGCAACACCGAAATTGTTGGCACCTTTGCTCCTCACATAGCCTTATTTTCACATTTCACTTCATATTGATGCTGCAGTATAAATATATATGCGCAACCATTTCTCATTAACTGATTTAATATTAACAGTACAGATGGCATTTATTTATTTAAATCAAATATTCCTTTTACAAAAAAGCATTGCATATGGATATTCAGGCGCGTTGGCCTCGATGAATATGGCGCGGATGTTGGAACTAGAAACGTGGTTTAGTGGGATTTATTTTTGGAATCGGATCTTAGTATTCAGTTGTCTTTAGAAGCTTTGA